CTCAATGTGAGTGTCAACTAGTAGACTGTTTCAGGCCCAGGCCTTGATGAGAGATGTGAGATAGCGTGTTGAGCACTCAAACGGCTGCGGTTCCTGCTTTTGGAGTTGGTACCCGTTTTTGGCCTGTTTTCAAAGGCAAACCGCTAGGACAACAGTTGCGAGCCATTTTGGGGCTTCAGATTCTCAAACAGAGACACACCCAACTAAGGGTTCCGCTGGTTCAGATTGGTGCTATAATACACCATTTACCAGGGCCATTTGTTTTTCCGAAAGGTCACCCATGCCCTCATCCATTTTTGAAGACGCATCCGTTGTCGAGAGATGCCCATGGTTGGTATTTGCCGCAGCGGATGATCAATTGTTCATGTTTGCAACACATTTGCCGGACCTACTGTGGATGGATGAAATCCTGCACCACCTAAGAATCACTGGAAGGATGATTCCCCTCCTGCAAATCTAACCAACCAAATGGTCGCAAGCCTGGTGTCATTTCGTGGTGCCAACGGATTTCGCGTCAGGACTGAGCGGTACCAGGGCAAGGTGCGCTATGAGGGCAAAGAGATGTACTTCGTGGACGTCGCCGTGCCCGAAGGACCCCGAGAACAAGAACTGCTATGGGGTTGGATCTTTACTTTAGACTTTAACTTTTTGGATTCCCCTCATATTTCCTTTTGACCAGCAAAAGTTTAACTCTTTGCTGGGGGATCCACAGCAGCCAAGTTGACTGTCCCATTTCGAGCACAGGCACAGGATGCCACAAAACGCGGCGGTTATCCCTAAAGACACCTGACGGGAGCCTCCTTGAGCAGAATGGCGATCTCCGGTTGGCGGGCTTCCTTCTAAGATTCCCAGCAAAGAAGACACCAACAGGAGTTGTTTTTCTTCTTCTGTTTTCTTTTTTTTCTTTTGGTGGGTTGCCTCAGCAAAGGATACCAGAAGGAGGTGTCTACCGTCATTCTTCTAGTGCTACCTTCCCCCATCCTTTCCAGGGATCCTTCTTTCCAGAAAACCTCCGGAAACCCAGAGAAACGGATCCGGTGTTCGAAAAGAACGATGGTTGGAAGTAATGGGACACGTAGAAATTAGTGGGAAACAATGGGAAACTTGGAAAGACAGTTTTTCAAAGAAAGTTTTTGAAAGAATGGGACACCCAAGGGAATCAACCCTTAGAATTTTGAGAAACATGTGTGACGCTGGAGCGAAAGTTTTGGCTTGATCCCAGGAGGCGGCTTTGCCCAAGGCACGCTGGAGAAGAGCGAGGTGAATGGCAACGCCCGGGGCCCAAACAGAAAAAGCTAGAGAACGGTTTGGATGTTCTAGGGCTACCTTCCATTTCCATTCTTTCCAGAAATCCGAATTTATTTTCAGGAAACCATCAAAAAACCCAGGGAAACGACGATCGTTTTTTGGAAAGAACGATGGTTGAAAAGAATGGTTGGAATCAACCCCTAGAGATGTGGCGAATCTGTGGATCCACCCCTGTTGGATATTAAAAGAGTACTTAAGGCACAAAAGAAGCGAACCTACAGGGGGGAAGAACAGGTGAAATCTGCCAAACAAAAGGCATGAAACCCGCTTTCTAGCGGGAAGGCATGGCCTTCCGTTCAGGAGTTGTAGAGTGTTTGTGTTGTGCCTCGTTCTTCCATGTCGTCTGAGATGGAAATGAGGATGCATGCATTCTAGTTGGTGGCACCTTAAGCAAATGCATTTCGAGCTATTCGGTCCCGAAGGGATTCGCCCACAGTGGTATTTGAAAGCTCGGGGGAGGTTCCATGGGATTTCCTGATCTGGAGCTGGGCGACCGCCAACAATTCAAGCTTCGTGGTTCGTAGAGTCTCCTGAAGAAAAGCGAGACTGACAGACTGACAGGCAGGCACCAACTGCTGGGAAAAGCGAAAAGCCAGACTGATAGCCAGGCACCAACTGCTGGCATAGCCAGCCTGATTTCAATTGCCCGAGACGTGCTAGGTGCCACTTTTCTTGGTTCCCAGCCATCTCTGTGGCTTCTGGGCTTGCTGGGCGTTTGGTGGGATGTCCATTTAACCCACAAGTGAAACTTTTGTGTTTTGCTTTGGGCGGGGGGCATCAAACCCGGGTGCCTGGATTTGCCCCGGCCAGAGGCCAATGGCTGACAGTCGCGGCCCCCCCATCCAAAACCACATTGTCGCGGCCATCGGATCGGGGCCAGTAGGAAACGTGGCCCGCCCCCGTATGTGTTTTTGTCTCTCTCTTTTTTTTGGGTTCTTTTTGATCTTCTTTTTCTTCTTCTTTTTTCCGGTTTGCCCTACAACCGCTCGGACGCTTAATAGGTTCCACACTGCTCCAAGCGCTGCCATGGACAGTTAGAGTCAACTTCCAGCATTTTTTTGTTTGCAGCCAAGAGTTCGAAAGACCCGCCCCCCCCCCCTTACACGAGATGTTGCCTCTCCCCCCCCCAACACGAGATGTTGCCCCCCGCCTTCAGCTAAACGCCGCGAAAAAAAAGTCGGCCCCCAGCTACTCCGCTACTCCGCCACCCGCCTGTCAGGTTTCTCCCGGCATGGAGCTGGAAGTTCGAGCGCCGTGGCGGGGTTTGGGAGACCCCAGCTGGCCATGGGTCTGCGAATCCCAAAGCAAGGGCCCCCCCCCAAAAAAAAACGGGCCTTCTGGGGAGACAGGGGGTGTGGTTTGCGTCTTTTTTTTTTGGAAGGCGCCTGGTGTTTTTTTCTTTTTTTGTGGGGTACTCACAGGGGGGACGAAAAAAGACACGGCCACATTCCATTCTCTTTGGCTTTAGCTCCCAAGAGCTGATCTCGAGCATTTTGCTCGGGGGGCTCAGAGCAGCTCGGCAACAGTAGCAGATGCCCAGTTGCGACGTCCCAACAGACTGGGTTTGAGTTCATTTGGCTGTGAGTTTTATGTTTCGGACCCTTTGGTGGACATCATTTAGGTGGGATTTATGCCCACCAACCACTTTTGAGTTTGTTTTTTGTTGTTTAAATTAAATTTCCTAGCCATTTCTTGTTCAGACTGGGCGTGTCTTGTTTTTTCGAGGCTGCCTTGGTTGGGTCGTTTCAAAGGGAACCCAAACCACGAAGTCGGGGGTTCCCTGGTTCAGAGACAAGCTCAACTGGATCGTGGACCGTTCTTGTGGGGACATGAGCAATGGTTCATAAGAAACCCGGCATCCACTGTAGTGGGGCAGGGTACTTAGTAAGTGGTTGCCTTTTGCCTGAAGTACCATAAAGAGAATGACATTGGGTGCACTCACCAAATTACAACTAGGGGTTGCTCACCGAATTCCCAGGTCAGTTTGGGGCATGACTATGGACTATGGCTCAAATAATTCGGAGATTGGCGTGTGGGTCTCAACATCTGCTCCAAAAGGGTCACATCTTGCCTCATAACGAGCCCGTTGGAGAACCGAAAGGTTGGTTTCCCAAGGCGAGTCGACCTGAAATGACCTTTTGGTTTCCCTGTGGTTCATATTTCGTCAAGGTCCCCAAAGGTCCGCCGTATCTTGCGAGGTCCGGGCAACTAAAAGGAACTTGGGGCGTTGCTGTGTCCTTGTTTGGAGGGGGAGAACGGTGGGATTTCGGCCGGTGAGAATGTTTCTAGAGCTACACCCTGCCCCGTTGACAGGCCTGACAAGCTGCTCTGGCCGGAAAAGACAACACACACCCAGTGACTCCATGCCCCTGTAAAGTAGGCAATGAAGGGCTTGCCACCCCTTGAAGAACCAAACGGGCAATGGTGAAGGGTTACCTAGTATATTGGCTTGCCTCGAATCCACTGGGAAACACAAAGACACACAGCTTGCACTGCTCTTGATCACTTGGGTCGATCCTTTTTTGGTGGTACTCCTTTTTCGGTGGTTTCAAAGGGAAGCCAAAAGGAACACCGCCATTTTGGGGGGTCCCTCAAAAGAAGACACACCCACATCATGTCCGACGGCTCTCCACCCGGCCCGAACCGGCTAGGTGAAGAAGATCAGTGCCCAAGCCGGACTTCTGCATCTCGCAGCGTAGCGCCGCGGCCGCGCGCGCTTCGGTTGTGCCAACGCTTAGAAAAAGCATGGCGCTGGCTGCCACTCGATTCGAGCTTGGACTGAATGCGTGTTGCTTCTTCCCGGCAATGGTTGGCCATGTCATAATGTGAACCTTTGTGCTTGTTGTCCTATAATTGTGTCATCTAACAGTGTTTCGTTTGGTGACCATTGTTTTAGCAAATCAAGCTGTTGCGAGATTGTTCTGCACTGCTCCCCTCGCCATGCATAACATTCTTGTCGCCCGCAAGTTAGATCAGAACTTCCCCTAGCAATCAAATCAGGTTAAATTGAGCTGCGGAGCCGGGCGGGCTGCAGGTTTCTGTGTAGTTTTCCACGTCGAGGTTGAATGGCCTTTTGACTGCGGGAAGACGTAGGAACCTGTTAATTAAACGTGTTGAAGGGACGGTCTCGCGGGCAAGGGGGATTTTAGATAGCTATACTATAAGGATTTCCATTGAACCATATGGCAGCGGCGAATTCAAAAAACCGGAATTCCAAAATGGCTTGCCCGATCGGTAAGTGGAAACATGGACCAAGACCTGCGGTTGGCCCCTCCGATCGTTTCATTTTGGTTGCCACACGAAGCCATATGGGTCACACTCGAGCGGGTTCCAAGAAGCTTGTAAGGTTGATCTTTCGGTCTCTTGTCCCATCATTCTCTAGCCTGTTTTTCCAGGCTTTGGCCAATTGGAAGAGAAGGTTTCAGTTGAAGTAAAGGTGGCCCTCCCGGAAACATCGAACAACCTGCACCAGTGAGAGTAAAATTACCTGCTGAACCGGTTCCTGTGCATCTTCCATTTGCTTTCTGTTCTTATTGGGAGGGTACAGCTCATTTAAAAATAAATAAACAAATTAACCAGGTCGCTTTCGCCGCCCCAAAGATTCCGATTTCGCCTCGTGGCCGGGCACAGCTCGGATGGGTCCAAACCGCCTCCCAATCGCAGCCGCCGAAAGGCCGGCGGATCGCTCCGAGGCCATCGCCCTACGTCCCGGTGCCCGCAGTGGTGGTCGCCGACCTGGAGCCCATCCAGGATCGAACATGGGTTGTTTGGGGTTGGGCGTTTTTCGTTGGGGTTGGTTTAAAGCGAAACCAAGGTGGACACCGAGCATTCGGGGGTTGGGCCCAAAAAATGTCTTTTTGAAGCCAGTTTAAATTTTAGCCGAGTTGTGTTCCTCTTGGCGTGGTGCACACCCAAAGGAAACTCGGCGACCATCGAGCGGGGGGGCCTTGACGGAATGGGTCCCTGCGCACGGACGAAATCCATTTCGCAGTGTTCAGAAACCTTGGTTCCTGATATATGATCCCCCTGCAAATAGCACAAGCGTCATGGCTTCCCCTGGTTTCATTCCATGGGTGCGAGCAGTTTCGTAACCTTCCATAGAAGTTTTGACACACAGCCCATGTCGAAGGGGAGGTTGGAAACAAACAGTGACCCACGCGTGGACGCTTCGGGACGTCTGATCCTGTCCAGCCCCTTTTAAGGTGGTCCCAGGTCCCATGGTTCAACTTCCCGGAAGAGGGACCCAGGCATGGATTTTGGAGACTTGGATCCACCCACAAGCGGTTTTGGTGGACATTTATCTCCCCGAGTTTGGAGATGGGTCCAACATGGACCCACACTTCACACATGAGCTCGAGGTCCGTGCTCAGGACCCCAAAAACCTCTTCACTTGAGCATGCTCCTCTGCGTGATTCCATTAGTTTGAGTATGGCTCAAAATTAAACGACCAGGAATTGGACCGCAGGTTTTAGTCGTTGTTTCAATTTACCAGCGTTCCATGTTGGGGTTACCCTATTTTTGACCCACACCCAGTTGGTAAAGGGAACCACTTCGCAGGAAAATTGGCTGGGTACTTCTTCGATTGTTCGCTGCAGCGCTAGGGCTTCGAGGATGCCGAAGAAGCGACAACGGCCCTGGCGCCGCTGGCCGGGGCCGATTTCTTTTGGGAGGGGGCGGGGCAGGGGGAAAGGGGATTGCTGTGGTCGGTCGGTTGATGGGTTTGGGATTGCCGTTGATTTCCTGGCCATGCGCAAAGCAGTCATTGGATGGGTGGTTTTGGATCTGGATTTGATTCGCTAAGCCTCATGGCTCAATGTACAACGTTCTGCAATGATGCCCTTGTAGAGCTCATCCCTTCTTCGTGCTTTGCCCTTGGGCCCAGTTTTTCCAGGAAACACCAATGTGCAACGAAACAAAGACGTGGGATTCGCCACGGGCAAAGACCAGGCAATGGTGTAAGAGATGACTGGGAGGGAAGCTGATGTGTTTTGCACGATTTTTGTGAGGCATCAGCGCATGTGCCAAAATATGAGTCCACCCTCAAACGTGTTGCGGTTGGTGCGCTTTGGTATCCCGGAAACGCCCGCTTTTGTGATCTGTTGACGCAAGCCCCACGCTGGCGTTCTCGATGCTTCTTTCTCTGCAGCCACGGTGGATCCTCCAGCCGCGGCCCTTTTGTGCAACGAAGTGTCCAGCGCCATGGCCGCTCGGCGATGGGGTGGATGACTGGAGAAGAGTGGGATGTATTTCTACCTGGTGGTAAGGGAGCCGTTTCGGAGGTGGGGGCATGTACCTCATATTCTTTGGGCCAGCCTTCCGCCAGAGGCCTTCGGCTGTGAATCAACCAACAGGAAAGCGTAACCAACACTGGGTCACGACAGAATTGGAAGATCTGTCGTATGCCTTTCTCAGGCAAACGCCAGGTCCGTCGCCAAGACTAAACATACGAATATCCGCACATGGGTGTGTCTTTGTTGAGTGTATCCTTCTTGGGCTGAGATAAAGGGAACCCAAAAGGAGCACCATCCTTTTTTGTGCGGGGGGGGGTCCCCCTATTTGGAGACAAGCCCCGCATCATGCTGGCCGTTTTTTGGGCTGTGGAGCTGGTCGGCTCGGATCTTTTTCGCAAGGCAGATCCAACCCCGGAACCGAGAGAGGCAGCGACCAGACCAAGGCCTTGTTCTACTCTGGATGGGCCGATTTGTTGGCACCCAGTCAGTAGTTGTGGTTTTCTTCTTCTCTTTTTCGTTCCTGAGTATTCGTAGGGTTTCAATGCGCAGGATCTTGTCCGCAAGGTTGTTATGCTTGTTCCTTAGCAGATAAAAAGGATCATCTCAACGTGGGCCCGGCTGAAAGAAGAACACAGTGCCAGACCAAGCTCTCCTGGAAAAAGAAGCCACGTCTTTGACAAGACATGGCTTTGTCTCAACAAAAAATGACGAGAGGTTTGATGTTTTACATCGCAGAATGCAGCCATTCCCAGCCATTCCCCGCGCCTAGGTGTCTGCCCTTCAGACGTTTGCGCTCCTGCAGCTCGGCATGGGTAGGGTTCAACGGCAGGTGAGTTGAATCATGCCAGAATCATGCCCTTCTGTACCAACTCTTTTTTTGGGGGGGTGAACCCCCTACTAGAATAGTTTCTACAGAAAAAAGTTGGTACCAACTTATTCTAACCTCTCTACCGGAGGGCATAGATGCTGCAACCTACCCTCCCAGCAATTATCATGGATCCTGACGTAAAAGGGGGGGGTCCTGGTTTGAACAAGTTTCCTTTTTAAAGGGACCCCCAAATGTTCCATGTTAATTGGCGGGAGGGTGCGGCATATATGCATATGGCAGCTTTTGCACGCTTATTCCAACTATTGCCAGAGCCAGCTCCAACCTTTCTGTTTCCTGCTTTCTGGGCTGTGCCACACCGCCCTTTGAACGAACAACAAAAAACACCCAGGTATCTCGAACACATCGCGCAAGAACACCACGAGCATGTCCAATGTATCAAAGGAGCCGGTTCAGCAACATCCATAAATACTTCCACTTGTGGGAAGGATACTTTCTGCCGCTGCTTGCTATGGCTTGACTCATGTGCTTGGCCTGTTTCTTTGTCGTACGGTTGAAATTGCTACATATTCTAAGTACTAAGTGCAACGCAGTTTCCAAGAGGACACGTCTTTGACCCCTTGACACGTTTCCCGAACTTTGGCCGGCTTTTAGGTTTTTTTTTTTTTTTGCAATCTACCCGAAGTTGACCTTTTTTTTTTAAAAAAAACTTGTTTTCTTCTTCCCCCGTTTTGTTTTGCAACCTACCCGGATTTTGACCGGTTCTTCCGTGTTTTGCCTTGCCATCCCACGAGTTTTCCAACACCCCCCCCCGGCCGACGCCAACAAAACTTCGACGCCTCGACGCCTCGAGGCTGGCCGTGGCCCAGGCCCGGCTTCTGGCGCCCCGGGGCTTGGACGAGGAGAGATCTCGTCCCGAGCCACGGCGTGGGGCGGGAAGCCACGCCTTCGGGTTCGGGGCGTTGGTTTCTCGGATCGGCGAAAGGCCGGTTTTTCGGGTCGGTCCGTTTCCCAGCAATTGGCGCCCCTTTGAGCTTTTTTGGGGGGAGGGTGAACCCCCTAAAATAGTTTCTGCAGAAAAACAGTTGGTGCCAGCTTCTTCTAGCCTCTCAAATCTGGAAAACCTAGTTTCTGAGCGGCGGCCGCTTTTTGGTTCTACGAGCGATACGGTTTTCTAGTGGCTATACCGTTTTTGTCGGCAGGTTTTGTGTTCTATGATACATGTCTGTTGACGGTACTGTGGATGGACAAAATCCTGCACCACCTAAGAAACCCTGGAATGACGATTCCCCTGTAAATACCAACAAACAATGTGTCCAATACTTTCAAAGTGGTGCGAAATGGATTTCGTCCATCCACAGTATGATTATCGGTCTTCCCAAAAGTGGCTGGATCACTTGGTTGTGGCCCAAAAATGGGTTGCCCGATCGGTAAGTGGAACCCATTGGACCAAAAACCTGCGGTCCATATCCTGGTGGTTTAATTTTGACCCATACCCGTATGTTCCTGGGCTGAACCTCCCCGAACATCAGCAAGTTGGTGGAACATGATCTTCGAGCAACAGCACATGAGCCATGGTCAAAACTCCGTTTGTTCGCCGATTGGGTCATTCCGAAAGAGGAATCATCACAATGGTTGTTGAGGATCCTTATCACGAGGCGGTGGACCATCCCTGTTAACCCCAAGTAAAGGGGTCGTTTCATCATTGCACACAGGGCGTCTCTTAAAGTCGGCACCCTAGGTATAAGGGTGTGTCTGTTTTTGAGGCTCGGTGTTCCTTTTTGCGCTTGGTTTAAAAGCAGGCCAAGGTATGAGACAGTCTCAAAATAGGAGACGCCCAAAATGGTCTCATGGGGGCTGGGGGGGAGGGAGGGGGGTGGGGAGGGAGCCCAAATAAGCCCTAAATAAGCCCTTAATAAGCCCTTAATAACTCCGTTTATTTGGGCTTATTTGGGCTCCCTCCCCCTCCCCCTCCCTCCCCCCCAGCCCCCATGATGGTCAGTTTCCGTTGCCCTTTCGAATCACGAAGAAGGTACCCTCGAGTACCGTTTCAAAGGGAAACCAAAGAGGAAGGCGAAATCCTTTTTGGGGGGTCCGATGCCCATTTCAAGACACAGCCCTCTTTGTGTCGGTGAATGATCCGAATCTGACAAATTGATTCATTTTGGGTCTCCCCGATTTTTGACCACCACTGCCATATGGCTGTGGTTGTCAAAACCAATGGGATCCCATTTTGGTTGCTAGGTGAATTCACCACCCATTTTGGAACCTATTTAGTGGGGATTGGGATGTTCACTGGGGGTACGATTTGGATTTTGACCCATGGTGATATCCAAAACCAGGCGACCAGCAAGTGAACCATTGTTTTTCGTCCTTGGTTTACCGATCGAGCAACCCATTTTGGGGCTATTTTTGACAACCACTGCCAGTGAACCATGCACCACTACCCCGATTTTTGACCACGGCCGCCATATGGCCCTGGGTCAAACGCCCGGAACATCACAATCCAACCCCTATAGACTGGTTCTAAAATGGGTGGTGAATTCACTCACCTAGCAACCAAAATGGGATCCCAAAACGGTTTGGACAACCACCGCCATATTGGCACGTCTGGACATCTTGAGCTGCGCTTCGAACAGGAGCTCTCGGCCTTGGCGCAGTTGGAGCCCAAGGCGAGAGGGGGAGTTTGTGGTAATTCAGCGAGTCAAAGAAGCCAGCAAATGTTTGTTGTTTTCTAGTAAAAATAATAACAATAATAGTAACAATAATAATAACAACAATAGTAACAATAATAATAATATTATTATTATTATTAATAGTAATAATAGTAATAATAATAATAATAATAATAATAATAATAAGAATAATAATAATAATAACAATAAACATAATAATCTAATAATAACAATAATACTACTACTACTACTACTACTACTACTACTACTAATAATAGTAATAATAATAATAATAGTAATAATAATAATAATAATTAATAATAATAATAATAATAATAATAATAATAATAATAATAATAATAATAATAATAATAATAATAATAATAATAATAATAATAATAACAATAACAATAACAATAACAATAACAATAACAATAACAATAATAATAATAATAATAATAATAATAATAATAATAATAATAATAATAATAATAATAATAATAATAATAATAATAATAATAATAATAATAACAATAATACGAATAATAATAATAATAATAATAACAATAATAATAATAATAATAATAACAACAATAATAATAATAATAATAATAATAATAATAATAATAATAATAATAATAATAATAATAATAATAATAATCTACTATTTAGATGTGTACAATCTTTGTTTTTGTTATTTACATGTTTGTGTTTATGGCGATCTGGTGTCGGATCCTTTGGAACCCACACAAAGTGGACAACGTTTGCAGAGGGGTCAACAGCAACCCAGATGTTGACCCCGGATGAAGCCACCAGAGTTATTTCTTAAGGGAAAATGGTCCAAACCAGGACCCAAAAAGTCAGGCTCCATGTTAATGGACGGGAGTGTAATGTTGACCCTAGATGAAGTTCAA